GGCAAAAACATAAGAACATAGGAGCAGACATGCGAGAAAGAACACAAGAACATGGCATAGACAGATTCACACAAAGAAAAGAAGAAGAGGAAAAGTCAGAAGTCGTTTTAAGATTTTTCGAAAACCCTAAATTGAAACAGACTAATTTTGAAAAGAAAATTGGGGAAAAGCTTTAAAACATTGAATATAGCACAGATCCACCATAGATCTAAGTAAATAAAAGAGGAAGGAACCTCGAATAGCCTTAGGGTTTCTCTGAAACAATGAGAAGGCTTGGAAGAGGTCTGGTCTTGAGTCAGAGATGGCCATGACTAGGCTTCTAAAGCTCGAATACGTCGGAATGGGGCCGGAGAGGCCACAAAACACAGATCTGCAGGGGATCTGAATGGACGTCGTCGAGGTCAGACCTCGAAATCTCGAACACCCATGGTTTAGGGGTGAAGGAAGGTGAGCACAGGTCGTCCATGGCCTGAAAAGCCATGAGCTCCGGCGAGATAATGGTCGGAGAAGACGAGGGAGGCGATTAGGGTTTGAGTGTTTGAGAGCGTTTGAGAGAGAAGAGAGTTCGAAGGCGGCTATCGAAGAGAAATGGGGATTAGGGTTAGGTCATGTGGAATTAAAAAAGGAAAGAATCATTTGTGGTCGTTGATCAAAAGGATCAACGACCTAGATTTAAAAGAACCCCGGGCGGGTTTAGCAATTGGGTCAGGGGTCGGGTGAGAAATCAAATTGGGTCGTTTTGATTTGGGGGCGGATTGGGCCAAAATTAAGGTTAAATTGAAATGGGATTGGGGCTGCAATTGAAACGAAATGGGACTACATTTTAAATAGCCAGTTTTTTCCTTTTTATTTTATAAAAATAGTGAATGATTTTTAAAAGAAAATTGAAGATGCTGAACCAATTAATAATACATATGTATTAATTTAAAAATATTAGAACTAATTTACAATTATAAAACACTATTAATCGTAAAATAGGCTATAATTGCCTTTATATGCAATTTAGCTTTAAAAATACCAAACAAATTTGTAAAAATATACAAAAAATTACCTTAATTATATTTGGTGTAAATATGAGAATAAAATAAGTTATTCACAAAAAATGATAATTTTGAGAATAATTATCGGATTTTGTACTGTTAAAATAGACAATAAGTTGATTTAAAAATAAGGAAAAATACCAAAACTCTTGGGAATGCTTATATATGCATGCATATGCTATTTTGAGGATATTTTGAGTACATAAAAATACTTAGGGAAAAATTGGGTATCAACAGCGAATTGTAATTTTTCCTTTCTTTTTTCGAGGTAGTTGAGAGAATATGCGTTCTAGTCGACTGGGCTTTTCAGGGAAGAATACAGAATATAAATTGCAGAAAGTAAATGACACAGTAGATTTGATAATGGTTCGGATTCAGAGTGAATCCTACGTCCAGCCCTCTGGTTTTGCAAGGGTGATCTATTTCAAGTACGAAGAAGCTTAATATAGATGGGTTGATGTTGTTATACACCAACAGCTTTTGCCACTTTGTTCTTCTATCTATAGTTGATGCAATGGCACACTAGTGTTCTTCTCTCTCTCTCTCTCTCTCTCTCTCTCTCTCTCTCTCTCTCTCTCTCTCTCTTCTCTTCTCTTCTTTATTACACAAGGAATCTAAAGCGGGCTACAGTGTTTGTTTAAAGTAGAACAAAGAGATTCAAATTGGCTTGATCAAAGTATATATCTTTCCAAGGCTGGTGCAGTAGGTATTCATACTTCTTGAGGCCTTTATGACTTCTACGTTTTTTTGAGAGATCGCAAGCCCAAGGGAGTCGTTCTCAGAAAGGAATCGTAAATTGATTCTTTCTCGTGGGCTTGAATCATTTCTTCCTTTAATGAGAGAATATTTCTATTGTCGAATCCCTTGATTGATGCGTCAATTGACGTCTTTAAGTGGGAGAATCTTTAACAAATGATTTCGTACCCTTGACATCCTTTGATTGAGATCCTTCCTATAATGTCCTTTTTGATTGATTTTGCCAGCTCCTTTGATTGATTCTTCCGCTACTCCTTCCTTTTTCGCTTGATTCATTTACGTGTTCCATTATATTGCTTAGAACCATTCATGCACATAATGAGTAATTGATTATTTTGCATCATTGAAATCAACTTAGATCTAACAATCTCCCCCTTTTTGATGATGACAAAATAACAATAAAAATACTTCCTTGTTGATCGGCTGCGTTGAGTGTGTTGTAGTCAACTCCCCTCAATCTGCGTTTCTATATGTCTAGTTGACTCCCCCTCAGTTGGACATTCCGTTAATTGTAGTCGACTCCCCTTCAATTGTATACCGTAGGATGTACCTGCAAAGGGAACATCTGCATGAAAATAGAACACAGAACACAGAAATAGAGAAAACTGCAGGCCCTTAAGCTTGGTTACTTTTTCTCCCCCTTTGTCATCAACAAAAATAAAAGCAATCAGGAAAGAAGTATTTGTCCTAATAAAACAAAGCCAAAAAAATTGTCTTAAAGAATTAAACATCAGCGACGCAGAAAGTAAGTAAGGGTGTTGCAAACCCTCCTTGAGGCGATCAAAGCTGGCATTTATTGTGACAGAGACCCCATCGATTCTGTCATGCATCTCCTTGAAGGCCTTTACTGCTTTTTCTGCAATCTTGAGAATCTGCACTCGAATCTTGGACACGTCGGACCCTGTCTCCTTTGCCATTACATGTATATCTTCAATCTTGCTTTGCATAGAGGTTAAGGAGTCCTTGATGGCATACAATGTTTCACTGATGGAGACAAGCTTTTGTAAGAGTTCAGGATCACTTTCACTGGGTGAGACACAGAAGATTTTGCCTTGGACTCGGAGGGGACAATTTTGGTTTCACCTTCTTGTTTCTTGACCCACACTCCTTTTATAGAGATATTGCCCATGCTTGAAAATTCCCTAGAATTGTACGGCTTAGTGACAGTGATATAGGGTTGGTCAACACGGGATATGTTGTTGGCTTCTAGCAGATGGGTAATAACCATACCATAAGGAATACTTGTGGGATCATCGGCATTTTCTATCATGAAATGATGACCCAAGAAGACAACTTCACCCTGTGTTTAGTCAGAAGATAGTAAACTAGGAAGGTATCACGCTGGGAGAAGGAAGAGAAGGATCAT